TCGGTTCCGACCCTGTATAGGGTTTCCGAGGAGCTGCTGGTGAGCTTGAACCGCTGACATTGCAGTTCAAACGGCTTTGCAGTCTGGCGCATTAACCCACAGCACTACACCAGGACTCTTAAAATCTTTATCTGAACAGAAAGCCTCATCTTTCTGCCATGGAACAGCTGGTAGTTTTGAACTGCTGACTGAGCTTGGCAACCTGATTCATAACAAATACACTACCAGAGCTCCTAAGAGAGAGATGCAAATCAAAACAATGAGACATCATCTTACCTGGCAGCATTGATAACTGACTACCGCCCTTAACAACTTTCAGCTGATGGTACATGGAAAGGATTGCAATCACTGAATGTGGGACTGATAATCGTGTTCTGTAAACCTTCACTCAATTCACAATAAAAAGCTTAAATTAGAAAAAAAAATATTGGGGGGCTATGACCGCACAAAATGGCTGGCTTACAAGCTTTCATGAGGAAACTAAGTGTCAGAACAAGGTGGGGAAGATAGAATTCCCACTGAATAGTTTTCTTCTTGTCCAGATGGCTCTGGTGATGATGGTAATAGGATTTTGTGAGTCATTGTTATCAGGACTAAAGGAAATTGTCACAACTGTAAATGTAGAAGAGGTGTAACTAAAAGGGGTGAGTAGTTAACCTGTCATTTCAGGAACAGAGAACTCTAGGACCATCACAAGGGAAGAGCATGAGAGGAGTGAGGGATCATAACCAGAGAAGCAGAGAAGCAGCGACATCAGAGATGGAGGACAAGGCAGTGGCATAGAGAGACAGAACAACAGAGAACTATAGGTCCATGGACTGAGAAAGGCAGGAAGATGGCTTGCAAACTGTGCCCTTTGGGCATTTAAACCAATATATATTTTCAGTGTAGTATGTGTGCATACAACAAAACAAAAAAAGGTAATAGAGGTAAATACTATTAGCTGATGGTTCATGGAGGGGATTATAATCATTGCAATGATTTGTTGAATGTAAAACTGATGATCTGCCTTGTAAACCTTCACTCACTCAATTCATAATAAAAGCATTATTTAGCTATATAGCTTTAAATTCCCTTTCCTCTCTGACAACACAAAGTGGCATTTTTATGTGACGTGAAAATTTGATCTTCTGCTCTGATTTTGTATTAGCTGAAATTCTATAAAGCACTTGGTTTGTGAAAAGCTGTGCTATACTGTGGAGACCTGAGTCCATTTTTGAGTCTTTACAAAGTTTTTTCTGACCATTAAATCAACAATGTGGTAAATGCTTAGACAAGTCAAAAACAAACCTAGGGAGAGGCAGCTTTGTCCTCAGGAAGTGTGTGTTGAAAGGCTACAGTGCCCAAGGCAGAGTAATTTTGCCCTAAGACTTGCACACAAAACTGGGGACATTGTTTGGGTATGTCTTTAATGATTTCTATGAAATAGCCCATAATTTATCTAGAAGGCAGGGCTGCATGACCACCACGTAGCCAGTTGGTCAAAGTCCCAGGACCAAAATCTTCAGTTGTGTATGTATACCAGTTAAGGTCCTTTCCCTGAGTCTGTAGTCCCACCCTGTCCGTGTGCATTGACTTGCCACCTGTTGTGATTTTCTGTTGATTTCCTTTGTTTTCCATGATCTATAATCTCACGGTCAGCGGTTCAAAACCACCAGCTGTTCTGTGGTAGAAAGATGAGGTTTTCTGCTCTCATAAAGATTTACAGCCTCAGAAAACCTGTGCAGGATTGCTGTGAGTCGGAAATGACTCCACGACACATAACAACAGCAATAAATAATTAACCCCATGACCATGAGTCAGTGGACTCCATTTATATCCAGATGACTGTCTTCACTTTGTCTTGTCCTAGTGTGGCGCTGCAGGATAATGCCCTGGACCACAAGGTTGGTTTGAGCCACAAGGTCAGTGGTTCAAACTCACCAGCTGCTCTTCAAAAACCTTTACGTAGGGTTGTTATGAGTCAGAACCGACTCGATGGCACCTAACAACAACAACATTTCAACATCTAAGGCTTAATAAATGGGTCAATATAGAATATGTTTGAATTTGGAGTCATTTTTATCTCTAGTATAATTTCTTCCCTGGATACTATTTATATATACATACATCTTCATGTTTTTGGATAGTTTATTTTTTAGTCAGGATGGGCTAAATTATGCTGCAGTAATGAACAACTTCCCATATCTCAATGGTTTAACTCAACAAGGCTTATTTCATACTCATACTACATAGTTAACGTGGGTCTGTATATTTGAGCCACTCACATTTCATTGGTCAAAGAGGGAATGGTGGATGACTGCCATTTTATCATATGCCCAGAGGGGGAGAAATGGAGTATTGATGAACAGTTCTAATGACAAAATGACAACCATAACAAAATTCACTTATATCTAATTTCTATTAACACTGAGGACATTGGGACCTGTCCAGAGTCTAATTAACAAGTAAATCAGTACAGACACCCCTCCCCCCCCCAATATAATAGTATAGCTTGGGCTGCTGCTGTCCTTGAGGACACACTAGCTGTAAATTAGAGGAAGTTATCATGAATCAATCGATTGGGGGTTTGGGGAGGGAAACTCTTGTAGGGGAATGGAAAGAATATTAAAAGTGACTCTTCCTACAAAGGAGCTCTGGTAGTATAGTGGTTACTAAATGGGCTGCAAGCCTCAAGGTCAACAGTTTAAAACTATCAGCTGTTCCACGGAAGAAAGATGAGACTTTCATTTCACAAGTAATTGAAGATGAGGCTTTCATCTTTCTGATCCCGTAAAGATTTACAGATTTGGAAACCCTGTACAGGGTTGCTATGAATCGGAACTGACTCCATGGCACATAACCACACCATCACTTTCCTACAAAG